TGAAAACGTGGTACTTCTGGGAGACCTTGTGAAGGCCAGAGAAGTGCAGCAGTGTGGCCAGTTCCTCTCCATTGCTGCAACAGCCCCCTGCAGCCCCAGGTACTCCTGGAGAAGAAGCACATGCTCGGTTTCTTCAGCGGGTTTTGAGCACAGAGATCAGGGCTCCTTCACCGGCAGCTCGATGGTGAGAAAAAGCAAATCCTAGGAATTTAAACTGCTCTTACCTTTGCAGTTATGATATGCCAAAGTGTGTTTTAAACTTGTAACTACGTCATCATAATTGACTGCCTGATAGTGGTCATCCTGAGAGTGTTGGCAGTTACTTAGGAGATAAATATCTTAAAGGCTTGTCCTTTCTAGAGAAATTTTTTTAAAGCCCACTGTTGATAACATCATCTTTTACACACAGCAGTCAGTAATATTGGAAGCTGTGCTGTATCTAGCTTGCTGCCAACAGCATTTCAAATCTTGCGATGCTTAGACTTGTTGTTAGCAAATTAGATGACGTAGTGTTTAAAATGTTGGAGGCAGCTGGTTTCTCCTGCTGTTCCATTAGCTACTACCCCTGAACCTTTCTTCTCTGGTACTCATGAGAGTAAGCAGTCCAAATCCAGCTTGCGTAAGTAATTAAAAAATTCATGCATTGATTTATTTAAGGAAAACCTCAGGCTATGATGATATAAACACAAGGTGCTTCAATTAACAGAGGCAAGCAAAAGAAAAGGGAATTAATAAATTGAAATTTTCAGATCTTTCATCTTAAGTCTTTGGCCTTTGGGTACCTTGAGATCACTCCGGAAATATTTATGTAAAATCTCTGTAGCTCTTTCCAACAATTCAACATCAAAATCAACAGATTTTTGTATGATATAGAACTGACAAAATTATATCATGCCCCTAGCAACAGATTGCAAACAAAACTATATACATCACCTTCTGAGAAGCTAATTTAATGACTTGTCTCTTCTTCATAGCAGCAAACAGCAACTATAAAAAGGCACAACCCAAATACTCAATGCTTATACCTCAGTTAACAAAACAGAGACTGGAAAACAAGCAAAAATAACAGAAATTTACATGGTCCAACCTGAATATTGCACACATATATGTAACTATACACATATATATAACTACATAAATTAGTATCCAGAACATGACCAGTAAATGAACTATAAACAATTAATGAACTAGCAGGTTCATTTCCTAAAGCTCTCTTCATTTATTTATTTCCCCTTTTTGAAATCTATTAAAAGGAAGGAAGGAAGGAAGGAAGGAAGGAAGGAAGGAAGGAAGGAAGGAAGGAAGGAAGGAAGGAAGGAAGGAAGGAAGGAAGGAAGGAAGGAAAGAATTTCAGTTGTAAGTTCTGAATGCATTTTTATATAAATTAGAAGGAAAATTATTAGGAAAACGAATAATGAACCATTATTAAATGTTAAGATGGAAAGGAAATGTGAAAAAAGCAGTGTAACCGATACAGTTATCTCAATGTTTGCCTTGCTTCTACAGAGATGTGCAGTAGAGGGCACTACAGATGGCAGAGAAAAGAAGACTACTACTTTGAAGCTGTTAAATTCAACGCTGCTATTTCACTAATCCTTGATAAAACAAGTATGAAAAGTAATGAAACACTTTCAGATTTGTTTGCTTTAAAAGATAGCCTGTTACCAAAAAGTTCTCGTGAGGTTGTTTCCCGTTATAAACATACGCTCCTATCAGTATACTTTTGGAGGAAGCTATGCTATGAAATAGTCTGTATGAGCTGTCTGATGACAATTTCAAAGTCTCTCTGTAACTGCTGAAGAAGAACCTGTCTGAATCAAAAACTGTTGCTATCACCACATACCACACGATGAAAGAGCTATACAGAACAAAAATGTGCATTTATCTTAGTGCCAAGATTTTAAACAGCTCGTTACTGATTTCTCTTATATAAATAACTGCATCAGTAGAATAAATAATATATAAAATATGTAAAAAGCATATGTATGCTTTTTCCTTTTCTTCACTGCATACCTTATCAAAAGGTTTTTCCTCTTTTCATATGTAGCTAGTCTCTTACTTTAAGTTTTCATGATTGCTGTGGGTGGTATTTCTCACCAAATGGTCTGTCCTTAATTCTTTACATAGACTGGTAGGCACACCACTGGACCTGATACACTTATTTTCAATCAATGGCAAATAGCATGTGAAATCCAGTCTTCCACTCAAGACTAAAAAAAATGGGGACCTCTGTAAAAGATAGTGATGCAGAGCAAGCAGAAGTATTTGGGCCAGATAGGAGAGTTAAGGAGACAGGGAGACAGATGGAGGCTCAAAAACTACAGTAAGAACAGGGAAAAAAAATAAATCTCCACCAGCCATTTAAATGCTTCTTGGGAATATGGCTATTGTGTTCCAGCAAGCTTCAATTTCCTTCTGGCTTCCTTGGTTGTGATCTGGACAATCGCTGTAAGGACAGACATTTTGTGAGCCAACAGATTTTATTGTGAACAAGTTAGGACAAAACAGGAGCCAGGTCTATCACCTGCCAGTTACATTAAAAACTACTGATCTTTTTCTAATAAGCAAAGCCGAGAGAAACAGGAGATTAAAAGTCATTTGCCGCTAACAGCTACAACTTCAAATGGGATATCTCCTTCCAACCAACAGAGCTGGTTTAAAAAAACCCACAAAAGTTATATGTGTTTTCAGTTTACCTACCTCTGGAGTGAGAAACACCTGTAACATATTTATTCTGTGGTGAGACAAATCATCATAAGAGGAAGTGGTTTTTTGTTACCATCTCATCTTTTTGTGTTTTATCTTTCAGCCAGAAATAAACTCTAACAGGCCTTTCTTAAAAGGAAAAGTAACTTTCATCTAACCTATGTCACAGTGATTTTCAGATCCAACATTTTTTAATGCTTTTAGGGGCAGTAAAATATTTTGGGTGGCTGGGCAAGACAAGTATTTGAGGTAAAAAAACACAAAGTAAATTAAATAAAATAATGCTTTTTCCCAATTTAGCATAAATGCCACATGCACTCTGGTCCATTGACAGTAACCAAGCTGCAAACAGGCAGCATTATGTGACTGTTTATTCAACTGTTTATTATTTATTACTCAAAGACATAATTTTTATGTGCTGAGAAGTTTGAGCTTGCCCAGTACTATCATAGCCACTATTTCTCATTCTTAAACTGGTCTCATACTAAGACAGGACACTCTTTTAGCCTGATTCTCCCCCTGTAGTCCCACCACAGTTTTAAAACAGGAACTGCAGGCTGTAGGCATATTCCCTGCCTGGAAAAAAAAATAAATAAAATAATTTTTTTTAAAAAATCAGTTGTAACAGCTCTAAGGCTTGGAAGAGTTAGACAAAAATTAGAATAGGATTTTATATGGACAAGCTGGGTATTCTACTACTTTTTTTATTCTTTGGAAGAGCATGTTGTGGAGGAACATATAGAGAAAATACTTTGAAACATCCAAGCCTCCACGTATCACAGAATCATAGACTGGTTTGGGTTGTAAGGGACCTTTAAAGGTCATCTGGTCCAACCCCCCTGCAGTGAGCAGAGACATCTTCAACCAGATCAGGTTGCTCAGAGCCCTGTCCAACCTGACCTTGGATGTTTCCAGGGATGGGGCTTCTACCACTTCTCTGGGCAACCTGCGCCAGGGTTTCACCACCCTCATTGTAAAAAATTTCTTCCTTATATCTAGTCTAAATCTACCCTCTC